AACATTTGATAGTTATTTTTGACACACCATAGTAGTTTAATGATTAGGCTTATTCTAATATCTCTATATTTAATCATGACTTTCAAGGCAATATAGAAGAGAAAAAAACAATACAGAGAAACCCTGTCTTGTAAAACAAAAACAAAAAAATACAAATAACAGTTATACTAAATAGAGAGAGTAACAAAAAAGAGAAGCTTAGTTCCAGATGGCTTTACTGATTGAGTTAACCAATTTTTCAAAGAAGAATTAATATTTTTCTGGTTTCATGCTGTGTCTGTGTCAAACACATGGCCAAAAGCAACTTTGGGAAGAAGTGATTTATTTGGCTTGTATTTCCCAGACACAGTCCATCACTGAGCAAAGTCACAGAAGGAAGTTGAAATGGAAAACATGGAGGAACACTGTTCTCTTGCTCACTTTCTGACTTGCTCTCCTAACCATGCTTATCTGGCTTTTTTTATACAATAACCCAGATCTACTTGCCTCCTCTGCTGAGCTCTCCCTCACCAATCATCAATCAAGGTACAAATCTTAATGATCAAAAACTAAAGAAATTTTCAAAAGAATATGGAGATATGTCCCAAACCTCACAGGTTCTAACTTGAAGAAATTAATAATCACCAACTGTAGGACAATTTGAACTAGTCTGAAGCTGCTGCAAGTACTTAAAAACTACCAAATAAGATTAAATAAAAGACTGGGAGATAATTCAGAAGTTAAGATAACTTGATGATCTTGCAGAGAATCTGGGTTTAGTCCAGCACCTGGCAGCCCACAACCAGCTATAACTCAGCTTACAGGGGATTGCATGCCCTCTTCTGGTATCTGGAAGCATCAGACATGTTGAGAAAAAGTGTAGCACATATGTATGTCACCTGCAGACACAATTATCATCCAATTATACTTTGAGATATGTCAATAAAAGGTAAGAAAATAACCACTTAGCCTGACTCTGTGAAATACTTCAGTGTCTACCTGGCTACAGAAAGAAAGTTCTTTTCAATAGGACAGTGTAGAAAGAGTAAAAAAATTTTGGCTTAAAAAACTACTACCCTGAAATTTCCAATGACTTAATAGAATCAACAAAAAATACTCAAACTTCCTATGTAAATGTTCTCAGAAAATGTGTTATATGCTGTCCTGGAAAAGGTATGATCTCAGAGGTGACTTCTAAGCAAACATAACAAAAATCTGCCTTGCTGTGAAGATATCTGATTTTATTGACTCAAGAAAGCAAGTTTCTTTATTTCTTCAGATGGTTAATCAGGTTTGTTAAACAGTTAGGCAGTTTTTGAAACAGGGTCTCATTATATAGCCCAGGCTAGCCTCAAAGTTTTGATCATTCTGCCTCAGTCTCCCAAGTGCTAGGACTGTAGGTATAAACACCATGCCTAACTTATAAGCAAGTTTTTAGTAGGAAAACTTCATATGATATACTCCCCGAATACATTATAATGACACAGTATCACCTATGAATTCTTCTTGCCCCTCCAAAACATTATACTGCATCTACACTTTTAGCTCTAGCTTTTACTATGTTACACAGTCAAATAGTCAAACAAGCAATGTGACAGCCATTGCAAGAAAACAACTCCACTACAAAGGACTGTGATGTACTCTCTGAGTCAACTGTGTGCCTTTTATAAAATGTCAATGTTTAAGAACAAAAAACAGTGGGTACAATTTCATAACAGAAGTGAATGAATATATACAATACATATGGAATGTAGGTTTTGTAACAGAGCTTCAAAGGTTCTTGTTCGAATAAAACAGCAATGGTAAATGCCTTAAAAAACATGTTGGGAAAATTAAATGAGGATCAAATATTAGTTGCTGTCAGAAGATCCTTCATTTTCTTTGGTGTGACAAAGGAACCCTGATTCTGCCTGAAGAGGTACTTTTTTAGGAGATACAGGTTTGTGGCAGCTAATACTGGGTGTAAAGTCAGCTGGATCAAAATCAAGAAAAAGGCAAGCTTCTGAGAATTCCTGTGAGGGATTTTCTTGATTTTGTTACTGGAAGCGAGATGAACTACTATAAATGTGCTTGGTACCTTTTTGTAGCAGCACAGGTAAAAGGAGTTACAAGACTATTTCAGAGGTTTTGCCTACTTACCCTCAACCACAAAAATTATTTCCACCATTACTTCATGACTGTAATTTTCTACTGTTATGAATTGTAATGTAAACATCTGTTGTACAGGATGGTCTTAGGTGACTCCTGTGAAAGGGTCATTTGGCCCCAAAGGGGTTGCCATGAACAGATTGAAAACCACTGATCTATTGCTTATATCAGAATCTAGATTATTTGGATTTTGAGTGTAACAGTCCTCCAGAAATCCTTTAAGTAAGCCTCGCGTGACAGACTAGGAAAGTTGAAGCATCCAGTCATGTAAACGCAGCAACAATGAGGTTATTGTTCTCACTAGTATTATACAGTCAGTGTTGGATTACCCAACTGTATTATCTAAACCAAAATATTTTCTTTTCATATTTACACTTTCTGTTGTTACTGTTCCCTTGAGAATTCTGATCAGTACAACATTGAAATATTCATTTATACTTTATGTAAAATGTTCAACAAATATAGATGCAAACTAGCTGTAGAAGCTAAAACCTTAATATTTAAATAGACATGCTTACTATTTCTTGTCATATTCTTTTAACTTCTCCATGTTTACATTTTTAGTACTTAAAACTTATACATTTCATCTTTTTATTTCTTGATTTTTGTGATATTTTATTATTATACCAATAGGTTTAAAACTTAGTATATTAAGAATTATGTTATTAAAATATTAATAATGTCTCTTAATGTCTTATAAACTATCCACTTCATTTTAGGAAAATAAGTCATAATTAATACTCAGGTGAAATAATTTTCATCTAAATGTTGTTTCTTAAGAGTAAATTGAACAGTGATCTCTATGAGATAGTTTGTATGTAATTTCATTTTATATTTTCTGAGGATTACTCACTTGTAGAGATACTTGCTCTGTCTACATAGATGTTACACAAAGTTTTTTGTATTGAAGCTTTTGTTTATCCTTTTCAAAATCATACTTGAACTATAAGAGACATAGGCTTAAGGAAAGAGAAAAAAGATAAACCAGGCAAAATGTTTTAGAGGTTTCTGAATAACCACCATAGAGAAGGGAGTGCTGTGGAAAAATCCTTTTGTTCACTGTGAAGATGTGTTGCTGACTAGCAAATAACTAGGAAGGAAGAGGATAGGCAGAAAAGCCAAACTGAATTGAGAGAATGTTGGGAAGAAAGGTAGAGTTACCAGCAATATGCAGAGAAAGAAGAAAATGAACATGCCATGCTGAAGAAAGATACCACCATGTGGTAGAGAATAGATAAGAAATATCAGTTAATTTAAGTTGTAAGAGCTAATTAGTAGCAAGCCTAAGCTATCAGCTGAACATTTATAATTAATAATAAGTATCTGTGAGGTTATTTGGGGAACACGAAATCCTGATTAAAAAAAAAACTCTGCCTACAAGGGAGAGAGATTTCCAGGGACACATACTGGGGGTTTTCTAAGTGTGCTGAAGATGGAGCCAGGTGCTGAACCAGATTTTAGATCACAGCATAAAATCACAACTATGTTATTTCTTACTTCATAGTTCATACGAGGGAGGAGAGAAAGTAGATGGGTGGGATGATACAAGGGAGACTGGTTGGGCAAGTGCAACTAAAGTATAAAGAAATGTGAATTGGGTCATGCTGGTGAAGAGACAAATAGCCTTTGGTTGGGAACTGACAGATCAGGGGCAAATGCTATAACTACTTAGTACCCATGCACAACAAAGCCTTCATCAATCCTTACAGTAAGTCAAAGTCTGCCCATTAGGACACTCTCAGAGCTGCACACTACTCAGTGAGGATATATTAGGAAGGTCAGAATATCTGCTTTCATACTTACCAGTAGGATAAGGAGCCTGTGTAGAAAGATGATTAATAGCTAGAGGATGAATGCCTTTAGATATTGCAAAAGAGGCTGGGATGAGAGAGGTGTGGCATACTTCCCCTTACAGGTGTAAACTGCCTGGCTTCCTGAAGCTGCTGAAGCTGAGAAACCAGGAGAAATTTATGAAGCTATTGAAACTATCCCTTTAAAGACACTGCTCTATGATTATCTTCCTTGGTGAGTGTGTTTTTAAAGATTAGAGAAAAATTGCCTGTACGATATACTTACAACATATTTTAAAAGTAGTTTTCCCAGCATTAGCTTTGTAAGGAGAGAAAGAAAGTAGTGAGTTGGGAGTCAATCTCTGTCTTAAGAAATGGAGCCCACAAAGCTGCAAAGATGAGGCTGATACTCAGGGACTAACAGGGAGCAAACCACCCCGATATTGGTAACACCAAGTATTTTTATGGCTGCCAATGGCTATGGATTTTACTAATATGGGATTTTTCCTTTCCTCTAGCTCTATTTTCCTAATTTAAGATATTAGATATAGACAATTGATAACTTTGTGATAAATGACATAACTTGAGCAATTGCCTACATACATGAGGCCCTGTATTCCATCCTCAACACTGAAAAAAATACCCATAATTGGGGATGCTAAGTGGACATAGTATTAAATAAACTCCTGTTGACCTATCACTATACCCACTAAAGTATACCTAGCAATTAAACCCATTGCTTTTCTAACAGGGTGTCTAAGGGTAAGAATCCAGAGACAGCAAAAGTAAATCAGACTACTTGAATCCTTTACAAGGTTGAAGTGTCTGGTGACAACTATAGATAATTTGAGGAGCAAGAGGACTGGCTACCAAGTTCACTCATGTGACTAACAGTGGGAAACATTAGTTTCTTGCTTCTGACCCTCTCCATATGGCTACTTATGTCTTGATAGCTGGTGTCCACTGGTGTGTTACAAAATAAGGCTTCATATACGTTCTGGAGAGGGAATAAGAACAAACCAAGTCAGAAGCTATCATCTTTCATAACTTACTCTGGGAAGTGATGGGTCACTCCTCTTTCATCTTATTAGGTATAGAGTCATCTGGTACAGTGTGTGACTGGACTGCCTCTGTGGGAATACCAAGAAGCAGCGATCAGCCGGCACCATCTTGCAGGTCTGTTACCAACTTACCTCATAGTGTTCACATTATGGTTGTAGTTACAGGCCACAAAAAATATAAACACACAGTGCTCAATGTTTACAGAAGAAACAGTGAGTTTGTATGATGGTCAGTGTTGTCAACGGAAGAGACTCCAGAATCACCTGAGAGATGCATCTGGTCATGTCTCTGGGGGTCATCATCTCTATGTTAATCAAGATAGGAAGACCTATATACCTTGGGTTCTGGACTATGAACATGGAGAGAGGGAACTGATGAGTAGCATATACTTACTAGTTTCTGCTTCCTGACAGACTGTGGGTGTGATGTGACTAGCTGTCTCAAGCCTTTGGTGCCTTGACTTCCTTGCTCTGGTGAACTGTCCTCTTGAACTGTGAGCCATAATAAATCCTTTCTTCCCCAATTTGCTTTTGTTATGAGTATTTTATCACAGCCACAGGAAAAGAAAGTAGAGTGGTTTGAGAGCTGAGGACAGACGGTTAACTCTACACATCTAATCTCTTCTTTATCCATTCAGTTGCTTTTATGGGAAGGATATGAAGCAGATATGAGATTAAAGTGTAGACTTGTTTCTTTAAAAATGGAATTTGAAGCCTAGCTAAATACTTAAAGGCATGTGACAACCCAACCTGGCTGAATCTACACAGCACTGTGTTGTGTAGAACCTAGAAATGCTGGAATCATCTTGAAATAAGTTAAACCTTAAGTATAAGTTATTCGGCTGTTTCTACATTTTTATAACTATGTCTTTGTGTCCCTCAGTTCCAGAGCCAGGGTCTCAGAAGAAGATCCAGAGCCAACAGAAGGACAAGGCTCCCTGAAAGACAAACTTAAGAGCCTAGTCATGACTCTACCGCACTTAAAAGTCAAGGTCTGAACAGATTTAATTTCATGCTTCCCTCTATGCCCTCTCCATTACAATCAGAGAAGAATCCATAATCCATTCCTCCACAAGACAAATGCTATTTCTCTTTACTTAGAAATGTTTTGTAATTGAATCACCACCCTTGCTGGCTCTGCTTCAGGCTTCATAATAAACAAAAACATTTTTTCTCTGTTGGATTAAATCTGACACCAGTGCTTGGCAGATTCTAATACTGCACTCTGGACAGAAGTGAATGCTGTCTGGAGTACTCCTAGAAGCATCAGTCAGCCTGTCCTTGGTATATTGTTTCCCATTTGTAGGAAATGGAAATTGAAAAGGCCAGTCATGTATAGAAATACTAATGTGGTCCACATAGAGCTCTTCGTGTTTTCCAGCTAAACAATAGTCCATGTTCATGTCCTGCTGAGCTCTCATAGCAGAAATGGCATCCATCATAGCAGCATTACCTCTGCCCTCTGTCAGGAGCTCTCTTCATCCAGATGAAGTCATAATTCTAGAATTAACAGTTCAATGTAAATACAATGGCCAATATAACGTGAAAGTCTTTGGATTTATAGCCAAGTCACCAAGGCACAAAGCTTGCTGGAGAAAGGGAAGATATGTGTCTAGCTGACTTGGCTTTTTACACTGAGCAGAAATCTAGGCATTAAAAATAAACATAAATCATGTGTTATAAGTCCTTATTGAAACAGATATGGCTCAAACTGGTCTCTATAGAGTTTAATTGCAACTGTCCAGTTTTTACAGTATAAAAACAGCATCAGAAGGAGATGTCGCCATAACTACAGATGCCTACCCATGTCTATTGTCCCTGAATGCATTGAGAGCTTTCCAGTTCTTTTGATTAATGAAGACTTAGTCTCTAGAGATGACTGCTTAATTGCTATGAAACTCAGGTCTTAAGATCCCTGGAGGAGGATACTATACATTCTCACAAGGTATAGATTTAGCAATCAAAGTGAAGTACCCAGTTATTCAATATTTAAACATAGTTGTTCTTAGTGTTTACTATTGCAAAGATTTTCTTTCCTCTCAGGGCCACTGTCAATGTGTTTCAAGTTTCTTTTCAGTGAGAAGTTGTGTACTTTCTTACTCCACAAAGTCAAAGCTGGGTTGTTCCTGTGTCATCAAACTCACTGAAGCAGTTGAGTTATTATGTTGGTGGAATTAATTATTGAAATGAAGACATGCTTTGTTCTGCTTTAATGGGAAGATAAAAGCCTGAATAATTAAGAATAGTTTTCTATTACAACTAATGTGCAATATGTATTCTAAAATAATTAGTTGAGTTTGGAAAATTATTTTATATTATCTATTCCTTCATTTAACATAGTTATACATTCATTGGTTTATTTACTCAAACTATTAATTAATTATCTTCAGGTTCCCAACTCCTACCATGAAAAATAGAAATATAAGCATAAATAAAACATAGTTCTATTTGAACTATTTGAAAGCTTATTTTTGAACAGAACTATGGAATCCCCAGACCCTGAAAGTCCACAGGGTGTTAAATGAACTATGAAGTTTTTTCAAAATTCTAAATTTCTCCGAGAAACATATGCCAATACAGTCTCTATTTTGTTCTGGTCACAATCCACATTTCCTTTATAAGTTCAGTTTTACTTAACTGAAATCTTCTTTTGGAATCTAAAATACTACAATGAACATAACTCAATTTATCCTAGAGCCATCTTAAATGCTATTGTTTTTATTTGGTGACTGTACTTTGTTTCTGTCAACACGGGAAGAAACTAGCTCTTAAGAAGAGTAAATGTTAATTGTATTCTCTTGAGAATGCAGAAAAAAACTGGTGTTCCTGAGTTCAGAAATTTGAAGCCGGTGAGGATCAGCTGACTAGAGTTCTTTCAGTTTCTGTGAGTTGGCTTTCAGCTTGGACATTTTAATTATAGTAGTGTCACCTTATATACTGAGAAAGCAGTAGTAACTTCATGGGAAATTAAACTATTTCTCATTTTGATTTGAGCAACACATAATTGCTCAGACATGAACACAATAAGAAAACCCCAGTTCCAAGGGTGAAATGTAAGCAATATCTCCCTGTGGGGGGGGGGGTTGAGGTGTGTATGTTCCTGGTCTGGTTAGAGACTCTACCCCTTGCCTAAGCCAGAGGACTCACCTACCATCCAGGATTCAACTGTGCTTCCTTCTAGCCTTCATACCGTCATCATCTACTCGAGGTTTAAGTTAATAACTTTATTGGCTGAGTGCTATACAGCTTTGTGAAAACATTAACACCATATACATCTGCAGGAATAATTTTAATTCTTCCATAGCCAGGTACAGTCTCACAATGTGATCAACAATTTTTGGCTACATCATCTTCACTGGTCCTTTATTTTTTATTCTTCTTCCTCTCCTTCAACTTATCAAATGAATGTATAAGTATTAGATGAAGATTATTTGTAAAGACACTTATTATTTGTCTTTATAAATAATCTTTAGCTTACACATTCATTTATATTATCTACATATATGTACATATATATGTATATATATATATATCTTCATAGAATGTGTTAGCTTATTTTTGACTTTTGATTTCTTTATATGCATGTGTCTATGTCCATGTCTTATGTGTACAAGAATAAGTCAAAGAATAACTTTAAGTGTTGTGCCTCAAATAGTAACCATCATTGTCTCTTACTTCCTGAAATTTGATGAGTAGGCTAACATGGCTCACCAATGAGCTATAGGCATACGCCCACCTCTGCCTCCTCAGTGTGAGATTACAAGCATGCACCATCAAACTTGGAATCTTTTTTTTCTTTTAATGTGGGTTCTTTGAACTGAACTGAGGTCCTTTACTGATGAAATTTATTTAATGGCAATGCTAATAATAATTGGAAGATTTCATTGAAATCATTGATTGGGTTGATCAGTGAGGTCACACTAGAGCTCATAGAGTGAAAATAGAAAACTTACAAACATTCAAATGCTCACAGAAGTACATCTCTATTTCAAATTAGCAATTGGATCTATGCTCATATAGGACTTCTTAGAGAAAAAATTACAGATAAAATTGAAAAGAAATCTTTAGAATACTTGCTGCATATGACAAGAGTGATTTTGGGCATAAAGGGTATAATAAGGGAATAACAATATATATACATATATGTATATATACTTGAATTACAATGTATACACACATACATTGTAATTTATATTGTAGCGCAGGACCACAGTAATTTTCAAAAAATATGAGACTATAATGAGGTTTCTTTCACAGAATAATTCCAGACAACAGAACTATCTGGAACTCTCTAGAAATTAAGTGATTGTCACTAATTTTAAAATTTTAGCATGACACATTGATTTGTGAAATGGTCACCCTGTAAGTTACAACCATTATGTGAATATTTTGTAGAGAAAAGGGGAAATTTACAAGAGTGTAAAGTATTGCTTTTCCAGTTATTTATTTGTTCAAGGGCAAGTATGTCTCTGTAGCAAAGTGAAGGAAGTCCACCACAGCAAAGTAATCCAACCCAGCACTGATGATGGTGGTATGCTGAACTAAAATCCAACTGGTCAGATGATAAACATGTGCTTCCAAAAGTATTTAACCTGAATATAATAATGAGAAGATCATCACTCATGGGCAGAGCACAGAATACTCTACAACAAAACTGGTCTAGTCTTTATGTAAATCAACCATCTTAAAACAAAGTTGTGTTTATTCAAAGGGAAATGAAAGGGCTGTTCTGGATTCACAATCAGTAGGAATGCTCTAAATAAAGTGCATAAACTGTGATTGCAAATGGAAGCTGTCAATGAGATGGTTTGACTTAATTGATGGATCAATCCACTGATAGATTCGTAATTGACTAAAACATTAAAAGTAATGGTAAATGGTGGAAGGTGGAGCCTACTGGAGGAAGTGTGCGGCTAGGGCCATGCCATTTATGAGTGTGTCTTCTTCACAGTCCCTTCCCCTCTCTCTTTCTGCATTCTGGATTCCATGAGGTGGGCATTTTTTTCCTTCCATACCCTTTTGCCATTATAGTATATCTTAACATAGTCCAAAAAATGGTGGAGCCAACTGAGTAGTAACTAAAACATCTGAATGAGCAACTCAAAATAAATCAAATCTTTCCTCCCTTAAGTTTATTTCCCTAATATTTGGTTGCAATGACAAAAAAATGATTAATACAAAGAGGGAAGTAACTGTCATGGTGATATAATGTAAGAAATACTTGACTGTTGGTGGTTTTGACAGTGGATGTAGGTCATGAATCAACAAATGTAGGTAGACTTGAGGAATTACGATAGAAGAAAATATTGTATCTCTTTGAAATTCCATAAAGGAATGTAACATTATTGATAGTATAATTTTAGCCCCCAAAGAATCATACATAGTCATTGTAATGTGTCACTGCATTTTGGTGATTTGTTATAGAAACTTCCTTAGAGTTTTTGTTTTATTCTGTTCTGACAATGTGCCTGCCATAAACAATTGAAGGAGGGTACTTTTTTCTTTTTACTAAAGCTACAGAGGTCTCAGCTCATTGTTTGTGGCTCAATTACTTCTAAGCTTGTATAGGGGGAGCACATCATTGTGAATGGTGCATTTGGGGGAGGCTGCTCATCTCAGACCAGACAGTAAGCAACAAGAAGTACAGGAAATGGCCAAAGCAACATACAGTCTCCAATTACAAGCTCCTGGTGACCTACTTCATCCAACCAGGCCTCCAATAATAACATGATACTAACAGTACATCAATAGATTAATCCATAGCTTAGGTCAGAGATGCCGGATCCAATAACCTGTCAACATTCTATCATATGGAATTCAAGATATCAACAAAAGAGCCTAAAGGGGGATATTTCATATTTAAATCCGAAGACTAATCTAACAGAAATTGTAGTATCAGAAATGGAGCTCAGCTATAACAAATATCTAAAACTTTAGAAGTGGGTGATAGGTTGAAACTAGGTACACTTTAAAAACATGATTGGAAAATCCAGATTGCCTCCAAAGATCTATCTGTAGAAACAGGTTTTGGAAGCTCAGTAGGTGAGGATTTGAAGATACAAGGATCTTAGTTTTGGCAGCTAGAGGAAAGAAGATCATTGTTTATAGTAGCAAAAGGTTCAACAGTTATACATAAAAATACATTTTAAAACATGGGGACACTCATCAGTTAAGAA